CCTCCAGGACTGGGATTGCCCACCCCTGGTCTAGCCCAGCATTATCTCTCCGAGCTCTTCCACCTCTACGTACCTGCCCAGTGCCTCAAGTCAGCGGACCAGATGCTACTGGAGGTGCCCAGGACGAAGCAAAGGCTCTGAGGAGATTGAGCTTTTTCCGTTGCCGGTCCCCCTCTTTGGAATGCCCCATGCTAAACGTGAGGCAAACCCCGTGTCTGTCCATCGTTAAAGCTCATCTCAAAACATGTTTTTATTCTTCGGCTTTCAACTCAGACTTGGCATTGTTTTAACATTTATTGTGTTTACTCTTTTGATGTTATTAATTATTGTTTTTCAATGATTGATTGTTTTATCCATTCGAAATCCTGGTAACAGGATCTATCATATAAAGCAAACTTTGGAGCAGTGAGGGCTGTCTTCGAGCCAACACAGTTGAAGAAAAGTTGTTAAACCACTAACCGAATCACTTTGGCTGTCTCCACCCACTCAGGTTGCGAGCTCTCCCACGCATCCGCCGTGATCCACTCGGAGTTCTCTGTTGCCAGTCGGGCCATTTTCACACGATGGAAAGCCTCAATCAGACCCTTCTTCTTGTAGCCATCCCCAACCGCAGACACGATGCCTTTCACCACCTTGTAGCGACCTGACTCAAATGGAATTTGAGTACATTGTGTCAGAATCACATGGTGCACATCCCCCCCGCCCCCCATCCCCAAGAGACCAGATGTTACTCAACCTGTGTCCTCCAAATAGTCCCGCGCCAGTTCAAACATCCTCAGGTGCATGTTGGTGATTGGGTTAAAAGACCCACACGCCAGAAGGACCACTCTTGTTCTCCTCTCGTCCTCCATGCCTCATTCTGAGGGGTTAGCCTTTAAGAGGCAGAGGTGTTTGTGAGGGTAGTTAGCACTAATGACTCACAGCACAAGGTTATGGGTTTGAATCTTGAACAGAAAATTCAAGCAGAAATGTCTAAATGAATGACTTTTTGGGAGGTCTGGAACAACAAGACACATCTCATACCTCTGAGAGGGTATACAGTAGCAGTCAAAAGTTTGGAAACGTTTTTTTATTATTTAAAAATTTCCTAAATTGTAGATTAATACTTAAGTCATTGACATAATAAATAAGTATTGATGGAATTGTTTAACAAAAAATGTTAATCAAAACAAAATGATGTTTAATAATTTACATTCTTACATTCTGTAAATCTGAAAATGCATGCACGAGATGGATCCTGTCAAAAAAAAATTTTAAATCTTGGAATATCATAACTTCTTAATGGCCAAACATTATGATTTTTTATCTAGTGCCAAAAACATTTTCAGTCAAAAAGGGAAACTACGATTTC